ATTTTGACAACCACCCATGTCAAATCCACTTCGAAGTCAAACCCAAAGCCTGACGAAGGCGAGCAGTTGCATCGGAGGGCTTGGGGCATCAGCTGGCGGCGCCCCATCCTCCGCGCCTTTAGCTGGACCTGGCTCACAGCCGACATGACAAGCTCCAACACTGCCCACACGATGCCCCAACGCCTTTCCGCGCTGGCTTCATGAACTCATTGAGACTTTCTCGTCATCCCAGCGAGGGGCGCGAGACAATCTTTCACTTGAGCAAGCATTGCGAAGGACCACAACACTGGAGCACAGCATGACTGTACTTTTGGCAATCGACATCCCCAGGACAAACACACCCGACACCTTGCGACTTTTTTCATCGCGCCTCTCGCTCAAAACTCTACTTCGCCCCAGCCGCGCCGAGCGACATGCACCCGGGCCAGATCGGCCATATAATCAGTGCTACCTTTGCCATACCGGCAAGTCGTGGCTTTCAAGAGGTACCGTCGTGCGTTCTCCACGTCGCCTTTCGCCTGCGACAGCAACCGTGCGTCAGCTCATGTTGAACCATGTCACAACTTTATCGACACACTGACATGCAGGCCTCATAGTACAAGCCCAGGTAGAGACAGGAGTAAAAGACATCAGAGCCGCCACCGCCGGACAAGTCTTCAAGAGCGGCCAGGTACTTGGTATCATCATCGCCCCTAAACAAAGCCATGGCTGTGCGCATGACCGGTCGGGGGTCCACACCAACTTTCAAGATCTGCTTTCGTGCCTCATCGAACCCAACCAGTTGGGCATCACAAAGGAACGCCCAAATCGACTCCTCAGTGTCATTGGGATTCATCTCCACGTCCTTCCTGAACTGCTGCGACCCGGCTGTGAAATCCTTCGCGTAGTACAGGGAGAGTCCACGTTGCCAAAGCCTCGCCTGAAAGAACGCATTGGCACCGATGTCTCACACGAGATACTGAACCCTAGCCTCCACCTCTCGACATCCAAACTGCGACAAGTCAATGTCTTGAAAGAGCCGCGTCAACACTAAGCATCTGATACTGAGGCATGTTTGCCATGCTGCAGGCCTTATTTGACTTTACCACGAAAGCTGTTGCAAAACGGGGCCTTCGGATATCCTGACTCGGCGGCGCTGTCAAACAAGTCGATCGATTCCTCCACGCGGTTTTTTCTGAATGCCTCCTCCCCATCCTGGACGAGCAGAAAAGGATTGCCACCTTTGGCAGCGGCAGCAGATGGGCCAGCAGCAACTGCTGCAGCCACGACATCTAGAAAAATCTGCTCCCTCCGAGTTCCGGATCTGCCGCAACCAGCAGCTTTCACTGATCTTGCAGGTCCGCGGCTCTGTCCTCGCCTGAGCAGCTTGGAGCCAAGGACCAAAGAGGCAATCAAAGTATAAGTAGTGGCTTTCCAATCGCCATGGGCATCAGCGCTGGACCATGTCAGCTTCCTGATGCCAGCCGAGGAAGGCCAGTTGACCGTCGCAGATGCTGCACGTGAGCCGCACAATGCTGATGGAACTGGAAGCTCCATGCTGTCTTTGAGCCTGGCACAAATTGCTGCAGAACCACGAACATAACTTCCAGCTCAAGCTACCTTGGTCTATCCACTGAAACAAATTTCAAGAGCAGGTCCGGAACACAATGCTTGGTGCAGCACGACAAGACACAAAATGGCAGAGTCTTGCAACCAGCCATGAACGGGATCAGAAGCTGCAGGTGACGGTTTTTCCTGCTTGCGAATACTTGCCCGGTACAAGTTTTGAACCAAGCGATCAACCGCAACCGATGGGGGCAAGATGAGCGCGCCGGATCCCGTGTTAGGACAAGCGTCTGAATCGTCATTGCCAGCACGGGCATCTCTGTCGAATCAAGGCCCTGTCTCGCCAACTGCGCCCTAATCCTAGAACCAAATATTTGCCAGCTTCTGTCGCAGAATATTTCGACAACAGAGCAATGAATCGAATCTAAACCCTACCCGAAGCGACCCCATGCGTCAGGAGCTCTGGCTGGCTGCGCATAGGGCACATAGACCTTGGCGCTTAGAGACTCAAGCCTGTAAGCCAATCTCGGGAAGCTGTTGGCTGTCAATGAATGGGGTTTAGGGTTTAAGGTTTGGGATTTGGGATCTGGGGTTTAGGGTATAAGGTGTTGGGTATAGGCTTTAGGGTTTCGGGCTCTAGGCTTTCGGGTTTCGCAGTGGAGAAAATCTCCACGTCATGAAAAAGATTGCTGCGATGTTGTGAAGAAAAGCTGCACACATTTTCAAAACTGAAGGGTGTTGCACCTGATCCGTAGCTGTTCCCCATTGACTCCTCAGAACACGTTTAGGGACACTGCAGCTGCAGCGGGCGGCGCACTCATGGCTTGGCAGCACGCCTGCCGTCCCCAAAGTGGAAGACTCGGAGACGGTTTTCAGATGCGCACACACACACACTTTCCCGACGTTCGCCCAGTAATGCGATGCAAGACTTATCCAGCAATCCACGCCGATACCTGAACGAATGCATTGATTACATCGTCAGTATCGCTTTCTCCCCCGAAACCACTTTTGATCTGCCCCTGTCGCCCGAAAGCTTAATATTGGGAAACATCTGTCCTGTGCTGCACTGGCAGTGAGTATCAGCCAGCCTGGATGCTGTGCATCACCCGCGTCCTCAACAGTGACGTAATGAAAATCAGGGGGGAAACGTCCCTTCGAGTTGACTGAGATGCTGGCTCTGCTGCCTGCAGCTCCTGGCGGTCCACGGCCTGGGGGCGGCTTTGAGTTTTGAAGCCGAGTCCTCTCGACATTTACAGCCATGACTTTCCAGACCGCTGAGTTCTTGACTCTGTGGAGGGACTCCGCCACTTCGGTGACGAGCTCCTGGGATTGCTAAGCCCGGTTTTTCGGAGTCTCTGTGGCGACGTGCTAGCACTTAGCAACAATCGCGCGGTTAGCAACGATCGTTCCAACGGGAACTTAGGCGTGTCAACAGCAGCTTGTCACAAGCCTCCTTCAACAAGTGCTCAGAGGAACTCGTGGTTTGCGCCCATGGCCAGGCATTGAAGGCATCAGTAACGAACAACTTCTGGGCACAAGCCGTTGACGGTCACAAGAGCTTAGTGCCACCTGCCGTGCGAAATCGAAAGGTGTGGTTTTGAAGGACCACTGCTTTGCTTTTGAATTTCAGGTTCTGGTGCAGAAGAGGTTTGGCTGTGCGACGGCAGAGATTCAGAACATCAGACCGGAAGCACAACGCGCCGGTGGACAGACGGGCGGACGTGGGGGGGAGACTAGGATTTCCATGGCTTGGAAGTACACAAACTCCGAGATCTGACCGCTGCGTGCTGAAGGGCCGGATCCGGATGTGAGGGCAACATTACGGAAAAATGGGAGCAAAATGTGCAAATCGTAACCTTCTTCAGCCAGGTGTCGATGCAGGTACTAACTAAAAGATTACATCTGCCGCGGCCATACCCGGAAACGGATTCTGAGGCCTGACTACAGATGTCGGAGTGATGTAATCCATGGAACGTTGCGCATGTGAGAAAATAGCGCGACTACGACCAGCGGATAGCAGTGACACGCTGGCAAGGATACGAGAGATTAATTTTACATCCGGGACCAAATTTTGAGCGTACATGCACGAAGTCCCACGAGACTCCCGCAGCATGAACGAAGGTCGAATCTTCGAAGCTCCGGCCCTCTGAAATGCACTGAACAGGATATCCCACATCCACTGCAAGCGCGCCTGGAGCACAGTCACCTGTGACCTGAACACGGAACCCCGCACCCGCCAAGACGTTCGACCTCAAGAAAGCCAACAAGTACCAAGCTGACTTAGCGCCGTGCTCCAGCTGTGCGATGCGAGCTTGCATCGCCCGTGTCTCCTCCCCAACTTGGAGGATCATAGGACTTAGTAA